GTCACACAGACAAGCGTTATGTGTTTTTCATATAGGAAAAATTTATAAGTTTTCTGGCGAGACAAAATTAGAGCAAATTAAAGTGTGATAAAAATCGAATCAAGATTATACAAAATTCTTTAGTTAGCCTCTGCTCAGCCATACATGTCTTTTCTTAATCGACCTGTTTCTGCCAACTGCTTAATAATATTCATAGCTTCTAACTGTGTTAGTTTATTTGGATGGCATAATTGAATTATAGATGCTAAGGCGGATTCAATATCTAGACAAGATTGAATAGACCCGCAGATGTAGATATATGCATTTTGTTGTATTAAGATCGAGTAAACCATATGCTTGTATTCCGACATAACTTCCTGAATATACTTTTTCGTACCTGGCCGCGCTCGTGAATACACTGGAATGATAGCTGTTAAAAGTCTCTTATCATTTGTTTCATTAATGATATCCTGTAATTCTTTTGCAAATAATAAGGCGTTAGGTGTTCGGACACCAATAAACAGAATACGCTCCACTTTCACATAACTACACAAGCGCTGTAAAGTTTGTATCTCTTGCCAAAATGATCGAAATGGAGCAATACCGGATCCAACTGCGAACATCAGTATTGGAGAATTAAGTGGCAGAAGTGAGTCAACTTTAGTAATTTCATATGGCATCATATGCGAAGTTAAGCTCTCTTGTCCAGGCAAACGAAAATAAGAATTTGGTGATATGAATAGACGTACTTTGCTTGGTTTTTGTGAGTGTGGCGAAAAGATCTTCTGATAATCTTGCGAAAACATAGGTGTTGTTCGCTGCAAATAATTAGAGCAAAGACCTTCTCGAACGGAACCTTTCGGTGTCCTGTTAGTGACAACGCTGACAGTTATATGCAACTGATTCGGGTAATAAAAATTAGATGAAGATATTGAATAGTAGCGAGGTTGAATTGGCGGTAAAAGCTGGAAAAATAAATAAGAGATAATGAGAGGATTTTCTTTCATTTTAGCGAGAAAGCATGGGAACGTAAAAGAAATTTTCCGACAGGTCTTTATGAGAAACATGATCAAATTAAATATTTATGAAAAGTGTATTCTGTTCTATTTGAATTGGACAGCAATTGACTCACTACACAATCTTTTCATAGAATGCACTTACTTGAATTAAATCTTCAATAGGTATCTTAATTGAACCAAACTGATTTAGCATGTCAATTATCGTTGGCTTTTCATTAAGCCAGTTCTCGTAAAATCGTTCACCTTTTCCCAAGTCCATTATTTGACGTTGCTCATTTGTATTAGTGGCATACGTCGCGATTATATTTAACATATCTGGTCGTGGTGCAGATGTCAAATCGACAAACCAGGTTAATATTTCACGAAGAGTTTTATACTTATTGTTGGATAGACAAGCAAGTGAACATGTGTCGCTAAGAAGCTTGCTTTCTAGTTGCCACCCACAAGCTAGAATGATGGCATTAATATTTTCTATAGTATTTTCAGGCAGAATGCACACGTGATCACCGGGACAGTAAGACCACCCAACTGTCTCGAAGACTATCAAACGAACTGAATGATATTCATCTTTTCGAGCTTCATTGCACTCAGATAAAATGAATGATTCATTCTGTATGGTGTCAGATACCGTAGCAAGTTGTTGTCGAGTTTCTGGAGATTCGGCCGCACAATCATATTGTGAATTAAAAGCCCCAATCAATTCAATATTTTTCAAAACTACAGCATTGTATGGATTATCCTTCGTGAACGGTCCCACTTGTTGAGTTGTACTTATTTCATCAATCTTCCCATCAAAGTTCAATGGAATATAGTGTGGTCGGACAAATGTAGCGAGAGAATTTTGTGGCTCGATATTTGACGCCGAGCTGATCGGAGATGAGCAAGATGGAAGTAAAGGAATTTGCTGATGCAACTGAGTTTCACAGTTGTGCAGATCCAATTTTTTCAGCGCTACTATTATCTTTTGTGTCCATTCATCAAAAGTTCTGTACTGAAAATGGAGTGCGTCACATGTAACCAGAGGAACAAGTTGATGAGCTCCCAAAAGTTGAAGTACGCGGTCAATCAGTTTTCCGAATCCACAAAAAGATGGATATGCTGATGAGCCAATGGCGCAAACAGCGTATGTACACCATTGTAACGATTTTTTTAGCTGCGAATAAGACAAATGTGAAAAGTTTACACCTTGATTTTGCATACATCGGTCGATTTCATTCATTTTCTTTTTTAGCCATTTTTCTAGCTGCTGCCCTCCTTCTGGAGCATTTCCTTGGCCAAATGTTGATGTTATTATGATGGTAACTGCTTGAGTCTTATCTTCACGATGAAATGAATATGCATCTAATTCTGCCAGCGTTGTGCGATAGCCGTCGGGTATTAATCGCTTTCTTATCTGTTCTGCATAGGATTTTGCAATTCCAGTAGTTGATGCATAAAGAATATGGATAGATATTTGCTTCTTTTGTGCTCTTACTGCTAAACCAATAATTATGCATGCAATACGCAATACTTTGAAAAAGTAAGTATTTCTGCGTATATGTGATATTTTCACGTCATTACAATACATTTGAAACGGTTGATAATACGTCCATGGATCGCACTGATCTATCACTCTCGGTCTGACAACATAGTTTAACATTTCTTGATGAAATAAAACACTCATTCCACTGCTAATGGGTGGCACTAGCCATACCCAATCGGCCGGCGTATTTCCACGATCTTTTGCCTCTTCTCGCATGAATTTCATGAACCCAGCGGCAGCTGTGTGATGATCAACAATAGTTATTTTAGCTTGTTGAAATGAATGAAGAATGGCTGCATTTACTTCTACATATATTCGATCAACGTTCAATTGTGCGTTAGCTGCTGCCGTTACATCCAGGTCTAAAAGAGCGGCTAATTTCGGAATGATATTGTACCTTTGGATATCGCACAAGTTTCTTCCTATTTCTGTTTCCATAAACCAGCCACTAAAAGGAACACATTTGTAAACTATACCACCGATTTCGACTGCTTTGTCGGAGACAAATGGTTGGGCAATCCAACGAAGACCAAGTGACTTCATTGCGGCATCGTAAGTTGGGTCTGGATGCGAAAGAAAAACAATTGGGCGTAAGTCTTCAGGCAATTCAAACCAACTAGGTGGCAAATTTGGATCACACTGAACAATAATCGGTAATAAATCCCATTGTGTTCTTTCTTTCAGTGGCTTATTCCAACCCAGCTTCATGGCTGCCTTGGTCAATTCTTGGTTCATTGGATCACCTATCAACGAACCATTTAATTCTTGATAGCAAGCAAAACGCAGGTACTGCGTTGACCAGAGTCGAGCTTCTCTGTTCATAACAAGAATTGTGGCTTTTAATACGCCCTGATTATAAGCCATACGTAAATGATCACATATTATAACGAACATTTCATGATTGCTAGTAATATTTCGTTTATCTAGAACCTCCAATGTGGACCAATATAATCGATTAATGCATCTGGCTGAGTTACGCCATGCAAGCTGGCACCCGTACTCAATTTCAGCAGTAGTATGTGCATACAATCCGGTACTTTCGATTTCAAACTTGATTGCATCTAATCGAGCTCTAAAACTTTCCACCGATAAACCCTTTGCAGTTTGGTACATTGAAAGGAACTCGTAAGCTTCCTTGAAAATATACTCTGACGAAGTACGCTGAAGCTCATCATATGATTGTGACTCAGATCTTTCTTGATCATCGTAAGCAGGCAATGACATGAGTGTTGATGTACATACTTGATGACGACAATCTTGATGTAGATTTGAAACGGGACCGGTTACTTTTATAGATTGATTTGTTTGATAATTTTTTAATTTCATTGACTTGTCCTGTACAAGCCTCACCAACGAGTTTTCGCAAAAGTCATGTGGATATCTGGATTCACTCTTTATCGGTAAATATTGATTGCTGCTATGCTCTGATTTCATAATGAAACATGTATCTTAAATAATCAATAAAGACTAAAAATCGAGATTCTCAGTTTCTTTAAAAACGAAAAATTAGTTCTACCGTCAAACTGCAGTATTCGAACAGGTAACAAAAGTGTTAGCTCTAATATGGATAGAATGAAAGGAAGATATAAGGAATGAAAGGGAGATATATAAAGAGTGAAAGAGACAAGCAGTGCCACTGATGTTATGTGACAGAACGAAGAAAAATATGGCCTTCATGGGGATCGAACCCATACCTTCTGGTATCCGGCCAGATGTCCTACCAGTTAGACTAGAAGAACGTATTAATCTTCGTTTAGCGTTAGTGTGATCCATCACTAACGATAACACGTACTAAGGGTATTTTATTCTACGGTCTCAAGAAAAGGGTTTATTACTTTCTTAAAAGAGTATTTTATT